AAAAAGGTCATTTTTATCCATTAGACCAAAATACTTCGGCCTTCCCATAATTGATGGCGCAGATCCTCACACCACGTACTTTCCTCAGATACTGGAGAGTATGCCTACATGCTCAGATTGGCCCATGCGGTTTCTTGGAAGCGCTAGTCTATTGGCTAGTTAGTGACGCTGAATTTTCGAGGTTTCTGTGACGAAAAAATATACAGTGGATGCATGCATAAAATTAGTGCGATCTCTAGTAATGCAGATTACAACTGCGTGCGTCCGTACCCTATTAAGATGCGTGATTTTGCACGAGGTCCAAAGCGATGCTGATGTAATGCCATCGGAGCTGATGAGCAAATGGCTTCGACTAATAGCGGAAGCCCGATACTCAGCAGACGCAACAAATCCACTCACATGAAGAATGAATTCCATCTAATTGAAATGTTTTTATAATGGCTTCTGGAGCGCTGAGAACTTTGCTATTCCATTCCTGATCGAAGGGACTCATTCGACGCACTCACTCTATTCATACAACAGGCAGTGCATTTGCCAAGCGGCCTTAGTAATTATTTCCAGGGACGCTGTAACAAAAAATGACTTAATTTTGTTGAACAAACGGCACGCTGCTGGCCAAATTTTGGATACCTCTGAGCGACATAAAAGGCAGCAACTTACATCTGACGCACTATACGTGATGTCATCTCTTAGAAACAGGGTAGCGAAAAGCATGAGAGCACCAAAGCAGAATGGGTTTAATAACTATCAATAAGCGGTAGCACGAAATTAGAGCTGCAAAATCAGCGATACGGTATAGACTATGAGCAACCTTTCTTCTTGACTCAGTCGGGTTGGTGAAGCAGTGCTAAAATTTGCGAGAGTATTTTCCCCCCGTAAATGCCATTCTACTATTTCTTTTCAAGCCGTAGAGTAGTAATCGCGAAACGTAGATAGAGCCACTGTAGTTGGCAATCCGATTTCGGACAATCGAGAAGCGATATTTGCAGCGTCCTCATCGGAATAATATATCTGCTCCTAACAAATCAAACTGCGTCAGTTTTTTCTTCAATTCTTGTATTTACGAAGCAGAATTGAAGAGATATCTGTCTGGATTGGCCGACTCGCAAATCATGTCCAACCAGACTTCAGGAATTCGGTATTTTAGCCGATGAGAACAATGTAAGAACAATGTAAATGAGGACACTCATTGTGCGCTTCACCGCATGTAGCACACCGTTTCCAGTACATCCATTCTCAAGAATATCTGGTCTTTTTGAGTATCATAATGTAATCAAGACAAAGTTGAGTTTCTATCCCGATTTAGATGCTGTATCATTTAGATACTAATTGGTGGAGAAGTCAACGTGAGTCCATTCATTCGGGTAGACTCGACGCATTTCATAAGGCTTGGCTTACTTCGACATAAATAAACTAGAAACCAGCAGAAACCACAGACATTATTAACCGCTCTCTATCCAGATGATTGACGGCTCTCTCTTCTAAAGGCTTTCATTGACTGAGATGGAATATTAATTTTGTTTTCCTCACCGTCGAAACAAAGGACGTCCCAAATTATGGTGAGTGAACCCGCTTTTCTCATGTTACTAAATCACCATGATAATACCCTAAAAACTGGTGTGCATTCTCACATTTTAATTTAATATCTAAATTTCTGTGGATGAAATTTTCCCGCACACCGCTGTTCACTGAGGCATTGTAATCAGCTGATAATCAGCAAGTGATTCCATATGGTTTACCTCTACGTGAGTCTATTTCACCGTATTCCACTTTGATACCACTCGATTGGACTGAACCCGGAAGAGTACTTATATACGGAATAGCCGCAAATGTTGTGAGCTTGCATGCGGTATATATCATCCAAGAGAAAAAATGACGATTATTGTTGAGAACGGAGACGAGGCCGTTTGACATCTCGCTGTACGTACTACTTACCACTGCATTTCTTGGTTGCGGAAAGAAACGTGAGTTGATGACCTTAGAATTTGTGCTCAAATATCGATTGTAATAAATGCTATTCAGGAAACAAAACATTCAGTGCTTTACATAGAAATGTAAGGAGATGTATGTAAACAATATCACTTTCATTGCCAACCTAGTGGGGCTAAAATATATCAGCGGATTTCACACAACCACTTTGACTAGCATGGAGTTCTCCTATTTCAGTGGGCCAGTTGGACAATATTTTCGATTTGTACGCACCCATCGGTAAGTCTACATACCTCGATTTACCGGTTTCAAGGAGAATTTCGCACACAGATGGTTATGACGAATCACTGTGCTGTGGACAGAACCGACTTGAAATTTGCAGAATCTGTCATCGTAAAAATATTGAATTCAGATGAAGTTCTGTAGTAGGGATCTGGATTCCCTAGCATTTGAGTGGGGAATCTTCCGGTTTAGCATTGTCATATTATGTAAATGAGTGCACTGGCTCCCCACCAATGTCGAATAATCTAGCAAGCATTCGTTTCGGTTCCAAAGGTATGAGCTGCGTGTCTGTTGCGCGACTCCGAGCAGGCGATCAAATATAAGGCACCCTCATGAATATGCCATTATGGGATGTCAATATTTGCACTTTGTTTGTCGTCCAATGGTTTGTCCCACACTCCCATCGCTAGCGCTAGTGTGTAGGATGCAGAAAGCGTGTGGACAATGTGATCCATGAAACGGTACATTGTACGTTTTACCCGGACATACGTGATGCATCTGATCCATTTGTCCTGAAGATCAGTGCTTACCTGGTGCTGTGAGATATGGCTGGCTGAGTTGGTACTTGCGTTTATGTCATAAATCAAAGCACTGGTTACAAATTTATCTCTACCTCTCACTAGGATGACAGCTGACTTTACCATTGACATTTTTCAGCACAGTTTATCATGTTGGAAATTCTTGGTCTTAATTTTGGCCCACCTACATTAGTACGTGAATGGGTACTCTCAAATTTCCCATGTATGGCAAAATCTACCAGCGCTTCCGCATTTGCTAACATTTTCATTTTGCCTTAGATTCCAAAGAAAGCAGAACATCAGAGGATGAAGTGGGCGGTTTTAACCCTGAGATATCCACGCAAAAATCAGACAATGAGAAGAATACCCAGATGGAATCAAGGAAGGACTACGGTTTTCAAAACACACCTTATCAGTGTCCAAAATGTTCGAAAGTGTTTTCGTACTCTAGCTGCCTTCAGCAACACCTGCAAATGCATTCAGACCTGAAACCGTACAAATGCGACTTCTGTCCATCTTATTTCAAGTATACGCAATGTCGCGATGATCATTTGATTGAGCAGCACTGGAAGGAGCTGGTAGCCCGGAAGTGTTCGGAGGGTGCTGAGTACTCAAGACTATTAAGAAGAGAAATTACCTCGTGTCCTGAGTGTGGAAAGCGACTGCGTTCGCGAAGTTCATTAAATACACACCTCCGTGTCCACACTGGGGAAAGACCATATTGTTGTCCAGCGTGCGGGCACAAATTTACCACATCCTTCAATTTGAAACGTCGTGCAATTCTGTGTCAGCAGGTCAGCATAAAAACACGTGATCGAAATTAATAAATACTTTTTACCAGCGACAGGGACCGATTTACCTGGCATGTCAACCCTAGAAATATATAAGGTGCGATAACGCTAATGGTGTTTTGAATCACCCGAATGTTGCGTGCGTCTTTTTGTATGTTGAACACACTTGTTCAAGCTCCATTGGCGATCACTCATTGAATGCAATCCGTGGCCAGTGTGCAGGTTCTACGGTTGCAAAGAGTGAAGCTTTCATTTGAGGTAGCCTGTATTGCACTGGTTTGTTCACCCTTAGACAAGTTCTGCAAACCATTGGCAAGCACGCAAAAGACGCCTTCATTGCTTTTGTCGGGCGCACAAAACTCGAGATATAAGCACGGTCTAATTCAGATTTCGTAAAGCTTATTTGACTTTTGGATATCTAGGTCATCTTCTGTTTAATCCGACGGCCGCATTTGACTTCCAGCTCCCTAACACCGAGATCAATGTCGGGTAAACAACCGCTTAATAACGCCTGCTCGAATTTTTGGTTCGGGAAATATATGACTTTGATGGAAAGAAAAATGAGCTCGAGATTTTACCCCGGATCGGCGCAGCCGACGTTGAATTTTATGTAATGTAGCTTTATCTCAGAGTGATTTTCAACAAAAATAAATTAGTACAGTAGGCTGACTGCCGTAGTCTATGCAAGCAAGTGTTCCACATTTGTAGCACAGATGTGTATTTTAGGCAACTAGTGTTTTGCGATGATCATGCGTGAAATCCTGTGGGTTGCTCTCGCTGATGATGGATTACAGATTGGTCTGCAATCACCTTATCTCGTGGAATGTGAACCCCACCGCAAGTGGTTAGAAAATACACAACCGAATTTACTTGCATCCTACATTTAATTGGAATAAACCTACTTCGCTATTTCTAACTCAAGGACCCACATATACAATAAAATCTACGCGCGCCGCCAGGGGCTTTTGCGGAACACGATGTATTTCCTAGTCACTTGGGAGAGACGGCTAAAATTTGTCCAGGAAATGTGATCAAGCGCAGATGCAAGGACATCAATACCGCTGAGGGATCTCAAAACCTGGCTTACCCAGTTTCCTGTCTCTTCAACCTAGCAAAATCTCTCCCGTTGTTCACAACCAGTGCACCAATCCGCCGAATGCTACCTTTTATAGAAGTTCTCCAATCTCGACCTCGTTTGACAGAAAATCACCTAGTTTTTCTTTCAATTTTGTTTTCCTTGATTTGAAAATAAGTTTATTTTTGTTCGAGAAGCTTTATTGGTGTATTGTTCATTTCCCGACCTCCATGTAAAAACCCCTTAACGAATGTGTGCTTCTCTACTCTAACGCTCAGCGTGGCTACCCCATCATTGAAAGTGGACAGTAACACACTTCCTTCGAATACGACATTTAACATAAAGGCGTGAACAATTTTTGAGGTGGAACGTCAATAACTGCTGCTCGAACATTGCTTACGAACCGACAATCGAGTATTCTGCAGTTTCTGGGGGTAAAGCAACCCGGCAGACAAATGGGAAATCGGGGAGGGACAATTGTTGGTATATTTCTGTTTGTTCGCGTTTTATTTCGGAGGCGGATTCCAGATTGTTCGGATTGCCAGATTCTCTGGCTTTACTCTGCAAACGAAGTAAACGAGCGGTCAAAATCCGCAGTGATCACGGGAGCCGCAGTGTTTATTTATCTTTGCAAACTCCGGTATTGTGCACGAGGGTGCAGTGCATGTTTATGATTAGGCATAAATGTGCCGGACTAATTTTTCTGCATACTCAGTAACCATGTGTCCGCCAGAATTCAAATAAGTCAATACTGCTTCAGCACAAAAATAGCTTGCTGCCAATCCACCTATGGGAATGTTGACAATCGACCTACTGTGGGTGTATCAAAACTGGGGCCCCTTGTTGAGGGATTTTCCTTCCCATGCTCTTGGACAGGTAAGCTATTCTGTCACACAATCACATCGCTCGAATTATGCCTAACTGGCAGGATGGTCCTCGTTCCAAAGCAGCGAATGAGATATGAATGGTTTCATACCAGCTGAAAGATACTCGAATATATTGGCGCACTTTGAGAAGTCTAACATATGTTGGCCGGCATCTCTATTGAAACAGTCGGGCTCTATGTTCTAGGAATTAAGTAAGTATTCCGCCTAGTAAAATCCGGATATGTATGATTCGAAAATTGAGAGGCCATGTGGATACAGCTCGACAACATTCCGCGCGTTTTTCAGAAAGTGGGCCGGTGTTCGCCGACGAACATGTCCACAGAAAGGCTAGCATGCGCTAATGGAGGACTGTGAAGGTATAAAAGTAGGTTAAAGTCTTCAAGCGGTACAGTGCTGAACCCACTGTTTCGAGCCGATGTTCGTAAGGTGGGCACATTTTGAAGCATCAAGTCCACAGCAATGCAAACTTAGGCTTCATGTAACCACCCTTCCATCAGACGAGGCTTGACATCTCTCTGCATTCAACAGTCAAATTTCATTATCAGGGATATATGTAGAAGGCGGTGTGAGTCACTCAAGAGCATACTGCACAAAGTTTCCAGTTGTGAACTAGAGTGCCACTGTAGAGAATGTGGGTGACAGGTTTGTATCAACACTGGAGGTCATTCCCGAGTTGATCAAACGCAGGCTGGTTTGTTATCTATATAACTGGTCTATTGTGAGATGCTCATTCTCACTTACAACATGCCCTGTCCGGTTGCGATTGTCAATGAGTTTCCACAGTGAACGAGAGAGCTTGGGCATCAGTTACTCTGTTCAGATATTCGCAGGGAGATCAAGCCATGAGCTTCTTATATGCGGACCTCAACGCTTTCTCTGAAGTTCACCTGCATGAAACGCTACAATCTCTAACCTCAAACACATTACCATTCAAGGTAAATCAAGTTTTTTTCAAGGCGATATATAAATGGGCAGGAGTCATATCTTTGCAGAGGGTAGCACACAAATGGTTGGGGCAGCTAGCCAGTTGGATGTGGACCAGCTGGTGCATCTGACACGGGAGCTGGCCAGGCATCACTGGCCACATTAAAGTCGCAGGAGGAGAGGGACGGTTCACCAGTGGGAAACTGCAAACCAGAGTAGACCGATTTGCGGAAGAGCTTGCAGCCATAGAGACGGAATCGTGGAGGCATGCTCCAACGAGCCGTTACAAGAAGTTGGGCAGGACTGACCACTGGAAGAATCAGTGTCCCCGTACACTAGCATGATAAATAATAAAATTTTAGAGTACTCCTGTCTTCCTTTGTAGGTTGCGATCTAAGCACTGACACAAGCTGCAATACAAGCCATTATCGAGATAGAGGAAGGGGACGTTTTGCTTGATCGATACAGGAGCATGAGGATCGCTGAGGCGCACGGTGAACCAAGCTGAATGCAGACCGTGCGCTCCAGACGTAAGAACAGTGGGAAGATATCGACTGAACACTGACAGATTTTCAGTGCAATCAATGCGGCTAGGCAACAAGTCCGTGCAGTACGCGTCGAACTGTTCTCAAGGCCATCTTTCTTTTGAAAATTCCATATAGCCATCATAAGGCGCGCGACCCATGTTGGCGTGTTGAAGACGATGCCATCGCAGCACGCAAGTGAAAAGAGCCATACCGTTTACGATGCATTTTGCTCTGAACCGTCAATAGCTCACCGGAAATGAATTATGAACGATATTCTTAAAACTTACCGTGCACGCTTGTGGACGAATTGCTAAGTCTGATGAGCAAACACTGGGCATCCATGCACGTTAATGCTTTTATTTACCAATCGCCGTAAACCACACGAGAAGCTCCGTGTCAACTAATGAAATCCCTTCACTCTGAGCTGACTAACCCAAGCCGTTGTGAGAACAAACGGGTTTTCAGTTAAGATGTACTTTGAAAATCATCAGCATCGAAATCCTGAAATCGTCGTTCAACACCGATGATACGCTGCCGTACCCACAAGGAAAAGCATTTACTCGGATAGAAATGTACCTTCATGATGTGATGTGCTACATATGAAGGCAAAAACTGTTCGCGGGCGATGATGATCCGTTTGGCTCCTGATCGTGGATTTCACAAGAAATTCCCTGTCG